GTTTGGTCTAGTCAGCTTCCCAACCTGAGGCAGGACAGACTGTACCTTCATCATTCCTGAGAGGAGTTGGCCTGACTCCTTCCCCAGTCAGATGCACACATATCCATTGTGAGGCCAGCATGCAGGTAGGATTTATCTACCAGTGTTCCTCAAGGGTGCATATGCAGCTATCCCAAACACCACCTTTATCCGTATCCAATCCCCCCAGCAATACACTGTACCTTATTTCTGCCATCTCTTGTCTTGTCCAGAGGAATTTACTTCTGATCCACATCCACCACCAAGAAAGATGTAGAAATAGTGGAGGGATTTCAAAAGGGAGCTGCAAGCAGAAGCCATAGCTGGACTCTATGCTATAAGATTTATCATCACGGGGAGGAGATAGTGAGAGGATCTGATCACTCTGTACAGACACTTATAAACAGAAAAGTCATCTGCTGGCAGGAGGCATTTAGACCTCTCTGACAAGGATAGAGCAAAAGCAACAACTTTCATCTTGAAATCAGAGGCAACTTCTCAACAAAGAGGGTTACTGGATATAAGAATAGCTCAGCAGGGGAGACGGTGGACTCATCACCTCCTGCAGCCTGTAACATGAGATAAGAAAACCTTCTGAAGGACATGTTTAAGCCTGTGAAAAATGCTAGTGCCTGTATACGACATTAGGGAAGGCAAGGCAGAATGGGGGCAGGTTGGCTGTGGTGGTACACTGAGGGGTCTGCAGGCAAACCTCAGGTTCTCCCAGCACTTGTTCCCTTCTTCACTGGACACTGGAAGGACAGAAGGCTTTCTGTCATTGATGTAATGGCCATACTAGTAAGAGACTAAGGAATCAAGATCAAGCTTCAGGTTTTCACCAGGAGCTGTGCCAGGGTCAGGAAGGAAACCTGCCTTGCACCTTACACAACTGCTCTGTGTTGTAAATCACCCTCCCTTGATGTATCAGGGGTTGGCTATGCTTGAACAAGTTTCTCAGACCTGGTGGCCCTTTCAATGAGGTGACACCATGTATGCTGTTTCTAAGCTGTTCAGCTGCTGTGTTTGAGTCAAGATCAAATTGGTGGAAAACTTTTGTGTTGAGAGATTTTTTTTTTTCTAGGTGAGACTGGCTAGTCTCAGGGAAAGGCAGAAGATGCCTTGAGCATCCTAAAAAAAGCCCATATACAAAGCATTAACCTCAAGAAGCTGACTAGACTGCAGAGAGCAAATAGAATGGGGCAGCCCATGAAAATGATCCCTGTGCCTCCAAGAATACCCCTTGTCACCTTCCAACTGGACAGTGAAGCCACCAGTTGAAGTAAATGATCAAGTCCTAGCGTAGAGCCTTGGCCACCACAGCCCATCAGCCATTCAGGGACCACAAGAGAAGTGCCAGAGGTCAACGGGCTGTGATGCCAGAAAAGAGGAACCCTGAGAGGTCTCAAGGTCAGAGGCAAAGGCTGAGGTGAGCCCATGCCCCAGGAAAAGTGGTGATCAGGATCCTAGGCTTGGTTATTGAGAGGTGTTTTCCTCCAGGCCAAGGAGAGAGGATGTACATGGTGCAGTACAGACGCAATCTGCTCTCAAGGGCCTCATACTGCACCCAGGAGCCTGCATTTGTCTGGGAGAGGCAGGGAACAGACAGCCAGGCAATACGTGCTGTCCTCACAGCTGCACTGCTTATGCAAGCAGAGCCTGAGCAGACACTGGCTGGGAGGACAGAGTGGGGATGGAGGTACATCTTGACCTGAGCATGTCTCATCCCATCAGGGGTGACCTTGGGATCCCAACATAAGGGTCCATCCACTTTATGCATGGTCCTTGACCATGGGGCACCCTGGGCCAGAGGGAAGGAAATGAAACACCAGCATCTCTACCCAGGGCCCCCACAAATTTTCACACCAGCACAGACACAGTTCATATGTTGACTCTGCATAGATTTGGCACCTGGAAGAAAGAAAACAAAGCAAATAAAACCCACTTGTGAAACGGCCCTCTTCTCTTTGCTGATCAAAGTTTAGCAATTGGAAATATGTAAACAACACCGCCCTCCACGAGATTTTTTTCTCCCTGACACCTATTTTCCATATAAAAAGAATCCAAACCAGACTTCCCTTGATGCACTAAACCCACTTTTGGGGGAGCAGAAGAGAGCACTCACACAGGAAATAAAAACACAATGCAGACTGCATTTTGTAGCATCTTTCCCGTTAACTCACCAAGGCATTTCCCAGCATATGCTAACGTAAAATAAAACACACTAAAAATAAAATCAAGCTAAAAATAAACATATCGGAGGAAATGTTCCCCTGGTTTAGTACACCAAGGAAATTGGAGGGATTGTGGCTCACTTTTAAAATAGAAAGAAAGAGATGAAAGCTGGAGAGTTTGAGTTTCCTGGGTGGAAACTCACTAAAAGTCTGATTTCTGCTTGAAGTCATAAGGTGCTGAATGGGTACAGAAAGCAAAGAAGAGCCCTGAGCTGCTGGCAGCGACAGTAGAGAGGGATTCCTGGTGCTGGTAGTGAGGTGCAAGGGAGGGACACCACACTGCTTTGGTCTGCATGTGCTCATCCAAATTTCAGTGCCTCAAGTGAGTCCAAAAGCAGAAGGCAAGTCTTTTTTCAAAACAAGGTTGTACTTCTCTAGCATCAAATGCCTGCTGCAACCTGACCTGGCGGTGTCTGCATTTCATCAGCAAAAACATGATCTCTTTTTTTTTTTTCCCACCAGCTGGCAAAGCGCTTTGAGATCCTTCAAGATGAAAGATGCTACAGAAATACTAAGCCATCATATATTTATTATTTTGGCACAGAGTGTTTCTAGACTGAAGTCAGGAAACCTCGTTTCTTTGTTGGTTTTGTTACTGTCCCTTTTTTGGGTTATTTTAGGAAAGCACTCACATGCACGTACTGTGTATATGAAGCTGGGTGCGTGCGAACGATCAATTCAATTCTTTACAGGAATAACACAGATCTTCCGTGATCTTTTACAGTCAAATGTCTCTAAACCTCTTAAGATTTTATATTCCTGGATTTTTATAGGGAATTTTTTCCCCAGACTCCAGCTGCCTTGTATGAAATAGATTATTAGCCCTTAAAAATAAAAATACTGCTGTACATTAGTTTTAGATACAAAATAGATTTAAAAAATATAATAAGGTGGGGATACTTGGATGTTTCCTGACTTAACAGAGGCAGATCCTTTATTATTAGTGAGGCTACTGGAGGCTGTAAGCCTAGCCCTCCCCCTAAATATTCAAGCCTTTTATCCAGAACAGCAATATTATAAATAGCATTTCCTACTCTGAAAACTCTGGGGATCTGATTTACTCCAAGTGTTTGCTAAGGGCACATGTGTAACCTGCAATTCAGTAGACCACAGCTAAGCCAAGGCCACAGGCAGCCTGCAGGACGGCAGCAAGAGGAGGAGGAAAAGACACGAGGATCCTGCTGGGTCCTGCCGTACTCATGCAAAGGGGACAGCAGGCACCTCCGTGCGCTTTGCTGATATGGGAACAGGCTTGTGCTTAGCTTTAGTGACTTTTAAGATAAAGACATCTGTCTTCCTCTGTGTTTGTCCCTATATGAGCTTCTCGCCGTCCACAGGTGATGCTTAGCTGCGCCTAGTCAGTCTGTTGCTCCTTGCAGTCACTTCTGAGGGGGGAAGCACTCAAGCAGTGAGAGAACAAAATTATTTTAAAGGATGAGAAAATGTAGTTGGAAAACCACATCAGTTGGCTGGGGTCTTAGAAGCATATGTGTACATAGTTGTAATGGCTATGGAGGAAATGGACAGCATTTCAGGTGGACGCTGATCCTTTAATGTAAGGCTGAGAATAATATTTATATGCTGACTCACTAAGATTTATGTTTCTGTATAAATCACAAATGCACTCAAAAAAAAAAAAAAAAAGTAAAAAGCAACTGCAGGATGTTCATGGCTTCCAGAACTCTACATAAATCAATTGTACCATGATCCCACAAGCTTTTAGACATACGCACGCACATGCATTCATTATCAGGGATGTTCATCCATCCAGCACCACCAACAAAAGAAAAATGACAGTAGCAGTGATGCGATGACCCTAGCCAAAGCCCTTCACCCTTAATGCCCCACAGCTCCAGCAAAGCTTGAACCCAAAGTCAGTATTCCCAGTGGTGCAGTTTGAGAAACTGGCTGAACCAGAGCCCTGGATCAGCACACTTGTAAATTCAGGGAGCCTGGGATCCAAAAGCAAAGTCAATCTTGGCAGGTCTGGCTGTCATCAGCCCCACTACCCCTCTAGGACAGAGCTGAGCACCATTATTTTGTTCTTTCTTGGGTCTACATCTATGCTTGGCACGCTCTTTCTGCCTTGTTTATTTAGTCTATTTTGGACGACAGTCCTTCCCTGTCCTTTTGCCAGCACGACGTGCTCAGAGAGCAGCGCCTGTTCTGCAAACACTGCCTCTCATTTGCTGCTTTATGAAGACAGGCAGATGCCTGCAAGTGCTGGACATCAATAAATTAAAGAACCATTTCTACTATTACTGTTATCGTATTATGATGGAGGCAGTGTGAGAATCGGGGAGGAGCCTGGGATAGATGGGAGACAGCACAGAGAGGAGTAGGGGGAGGACTTTGTCCCTACCTCCTGCAGTGTGGGGAAGACTGGAATGGATGGAGATGGAACTTGTAAAGCACATGCTGAAGAAGCCAACATTTCAGCTTCAGCAGCAACCCTCAGCAATAACTCTTCAGCAGAGGGAGCTTAGTCCACCAGAGAACAATCCTTTAATGCAGTTTTGTGCAGACACATAGGCAACGCACAAAATCTATTTTCCTGCCCCACCCCCCCCGCCCCAGCAAGATAACCAAACCAAGATTCATTACAATGGATTTTCCAACACCACCTCAAAAGCTACCTGTGAATAGTCGCGAAACTATGAGTAGAAAAAAAACTCCAGAACTGAAGCACAAAGCTACAGAGGAGAGAGGTACTGTGGGTGCCAGTTGGGAAGTGCCCTGAGGAGACCATACCTGTAGCGCTCATGGCCATGTCCCTCCTCGTGTTGTAGGAGGCAGGTGGTCGGGTCAGAGGAGCCAGGATGAACTGAGGTCCGCAAGGCCACGGCTGCAATGCCCACGAGTGGGGAGGAGAAGTTGAGCAGCACTGAAGCAGTCCAGTGGGATGGGTGCTCCTGGCCATGGGTCACATTGATGACGAGCGGGTTGTGCTGGCATGACAGCTCATACATCCCTGCAAGATGGGGCAAAGAAAGAAGCCACTAGTTCAGCTCCAGTGGTATTTTCTCTGCTTTTGATTTACCTCTTCTGCTCCCCCCTACAACCCAACAGACTAGCTTGGGAAGCAGAAGATGATGCAAGGGGAGATAGTGGACAGCAGCACTCAATCCAGTGAGAGATCACACCAATGGTGCAGGCTCCTGGTGTCCGTGCTGGGACAGCACAGACTGGTGCCACAGTCCGTAGG